CCCCCCCCCCCCCCCCCCCCCCCCCCTCCCCCCCTTTCCCTTCTTCCTCTCTAATTATCTTTCACTTTTATTACACGCACATAAGTAAAGCCAATAATCATTCCATATTTAAGCTCGCTGAAAAACGACATAAACAGCAGCACATGCTAATAACAATCGGCAACTGGCAAAGCTGTCGATGGTTTCCTCTTTTGAGAGTTGCTTAGAAGCAAGCTGATGGCGAGTTTGACTTCCTGACATGCACCAATTTTCGATCGGAATTAACGATCAAATCAGAGAGGGGGACTGGCTGTAGCAGAGCCGAACCTCGTTTTTTTAGCGCGACAGCGGCACCAAGCAAACTGAGAAAAAATCACTATTATCAAAACAAACTTCGGGTTGTACTGGTAATAAGTTTATCAAAGCATTCTGTCGATTTGCTTGCCGTTTTGTTTCATTGATCTGGTCAAGCTGCGTATTAGAAATACGCTGTATCACACCTGAAATTTGCTTTTTTTTCCAGAAAATAATTTCCAAAAAAATTAAAAAACAACTTTTCGTATGCTGATAATCGACCTACTTCCAAATGTCTTCTCATACAGACAGCAAATACAAGCGTTTTTATTTTTAAATTTAATAGGTATTGGACTCATGATTTTCTTGAATCCCTTAATTAGAAATCAGTGAAGGGATTAGTAGAAACAGTGGGTGGAACAAATATACGAGATTTTGGAGGAAAATCCTGAGAAAAGATAAACAGAAAACAATAATTTGTAAATTCTATGAAGGAAAATACAGGATTTTTTGAAAATTTGCAAATTTGGTATACCAGGTACGGTTGGATCACTGGCTGAGGAATGAAGTTGATGTGGATCATGGAATGCATCATCACGATTCGTACCGCCTGATGACGAACCAACTGTACACATTGAATCCGATGAATAATGCGAACCAAATGAATCGCGTTTCGTTATCTGTAACTATCATAGTTATAGTTGAAGCGGCTTCCAGTTCACCACTTATTCATTCGTGGTGCAGCTGGACAACCATGCCATTTTCCCTCTTCATTTTATAGCTCCTGAGATGCCGGAAAAAGCAGGTAAACAAAACAATGGATTATGAAGAAAGAGAAATAATAAACAGCAACGCTCACCAGACTAGCCGGTGCGATTATGCGTTTTGTGCAATTCAGCCCACCGAACGATTGCCTATTAATGATTTTCACTGCTTTGTACTTTTGTCTATGCAAAAATAGTTCAAAAATTGAAAATAGTGTTCACGCACCAGCGCAAGAAAGCTGAATTCGAAACCTTGAAGGGTGAATATCTTTCCGTGATTCCCTAGTTAATAGTTTAGCCGCCAAATTTCTCACGGGGCCGTAGGTGATACTCAACAGCGAGGGAACGCTGAATTTGAATAAGCAAGGTTGAGCGTGGGCAGGGAGTTATTACCCTAAAATTTCAGCCTCCTAAACCCCGTGGTTCCTGAGATTTTAATTTACCCGTAAAAAACTTTCACGGGCTGTACGAATTACCCGCGGTACGGGAAGGCTGAATTTAAATTTGCCGCGTCAGCCGTTGGCGGGGAGTACTATACCGAAATTTCAACCGCCTAGCTTTTGTGGTTCCGGAGCTGAAAGTGCGGGGCAAAATGTGGGACACACACACACACACAGACAACCCCGTGACAATATGCGTTTTGTAACGCTGTTACACAGCACAAAACGCATAAAAAGGGATAGAAATTCGAAGAAATAAAATGAAGCATGCTAAGTGTAATTAAGTCAAATTGTTGATGGGAGAATGACCAAAAATTGCATGTTTATGTGAGATGTTGAATGGGAGAAGTGAGAACTGGGTTTTTTTTTTTTTTTTTTCAAGAAAATTGAGGAGAATGGAGGTAATGATCAATCCGTAATTGTAGCGACTAGCACTGACCAATGGTAGAAGGACACAAGAGGGAAGTGGTTGGGGAAGAGAAAAGATAGTTATATAGGTGCCTATTTTGTAACAAAGATAAGCGCATGTGTTGTGAGTATGTGAAGAGGAATATATAGATTTTGCTCTCTGTGTTTCATCCCTAAGCTACAAACACACAAAAAAAGGCAAACAAAAAAAGAGACAAAATCCAAAAAAACAGAAATCCAAAAGGGGAAAAAAAAAACAAATTTAAAGAAAAAACAGAAAACCAAGAAAAAATAAACGCCAACAAATATTCCTATCAAAAAAAAACCATGTGTTTTTTGTCATGTATGAATAATTACCTTCTCGAACCTTGCCATATTACAAGATAATATTCCTTCTAAAAAATATGGTACAATAATTTCGTGTACAAAAGCCCCCAAGCAAGACCCTATGTAGAAGTCGGAGAAACGTAGCAAAAGAGGAGTGTGTGAAGTCCAAGAGAGGGCAGGAGATAGGTGGAAGGGAAATGCAAAAAGATGGTGGAACAAAGGGCGAATTAGGAGGAACAGCCGCTAAAATTAAAACAGCTTGTAAAGCATTTTACACCATCCCCGAGTTCTGTGAATCACCGTGCACCCTGGGCCAGCATCACTTCCGTTATAAGAACTTTAAAATATCGCTGTTTCGAGGGAAAATGAATAATATCAATGTACTTACACCACAAATAAGCTTTTTTTCCGCCGTTATCCTCCCCCCTTCCCCGCTCAGACCACCA